CACACACACACACACGCACACGCACACACACACACACACACACACGCACACACGCACAGCACCCACCCCCTGGGGGGCAGCAGGAGCTATAGCTCTGGGGGATTATGGAGTGGGAAAAAAAGCTTTCAGGAGGACAGTCATCTGCTTCTCTCCTGCTGTAGACCACAAGCAGGCAAAAAAACAAACAACAACTTCCTCAATCTAAGTCCCTTTTTGCCAATGCCTGCCAAAAAAACTGGACCGGACAGCTTTGCGAGAGAAGAGGAAGACAGGCATCCTTCTTTCTGTCTACACGGCGAAAAGAAATGGGCTCATTTAGCCAAAGCTGCCACGGTCAATGCAGGGTTTTTGATAGAGGCTTCGGTTAGGTGAAATCCCTCCTATAACGCTCTGTTAGTGACTGTGGAAATGTTGGCTGATGTCTCCTGTCACACACCTACAGTTGATGGTTCCTTGTGGGTGTTTTATCAACACTACCACCCGTGACACGGCTTTACTCCATCAGTGTCAATGCTTGCTGGCTTAGTGGAGCCATTGTGTCCGAATAATCTGAATTCTGCTCTCAAAATCCAGCGCTTTCTTCATGTATCACTCTATTTATTTTGAAAAAGGACTTGTTTCTTGTCAGCCACCATGTTATTGTAGGTCTTGGCTCTACACGCAGGTAAACAAAGCAGGTTGTTTATCGCTGGGTGCTGGGTGCCAGGCTGTGGTATGCTCAGGGAGAATATGTTGTTGACCTTGAGTTAAAATGAAGCTCTTATCATTAGTTGTCTTGATTGACAGCCGGGTGTTTATGAGCAAAGTGGAAGGCTCTTTTTCTTCCATCTCCGGGGGGGNGGGGGGGGGGGGGGGTTGTGGCTGCCATGGTATGACTCATTTCTCTGTCTTTCTCTCACATGTTTTCCAAACTGTTCCTTTGTTTTGCTTGTTTATCAACAGTACTGGCACAAGTCAGAATCTTCCATTTCCTAAAATTGTGAAAAATAAATAAACAAATATTGGATTGTCAAGATTCAGTTGTGTTTCTTACACAATGTTTAGAGACACTTAACTACTAAGGACATCAAATAAAACAAATACAATTCTGTCCACGCACAAATTCTAAACTTTAGACTTTAAGTGTTTGAAATGGCAGGAACTATTCTTCCCTTTGTTCTGTATAGTTAAAAGGTTGCAGATACATCAAGTAAATCAAATGCAGGCGTCTCCTTGGTAACTAAACAGTGCTATAGTTACACTTATTGGTTGTAAATATTCTAACTTGTTTTGTTGCATCAGAAAAATGTCAGCCCTTAAATCTAAAGTGTGCAAACATGTTCCCGATGATAATGCTAACATGCTAAAGTAAAGCAGGTAACCATTTGCCACTAAACACTAGAAACAAAGTATTGGACAAATTGAAATCTTCATTGGAGGGTGGCACTTGGATGACATGAATTTAAGAAACTAATTGTATGGCTATCTATGAAATACTTATCCATATATTTCAGTTACAAAACACACAGCTCAATGAGTGGTGCAGTCAATAGGATGTTAAGTTCAACTTGTGGATGTTTTTCAAGCTAAACAATGATATGACTAACAACTTCGGATAGCATTGCCTGAAACATTTGTGTACTGAATGTGCATTAACGAAAGTTTCCAAATATGTTATTCTTCATTGTCACATTAGATCACATAATTTTTTATAGGAAGGTGAGCATCAGTCAAAGCCTTATTGAAACTTATTCTCCCTTCTCCCTCTGAAGGTGCTGGGCTCTCTCCAGTCAGAAGGAAACCCTCTGGACTGCCGCTTCAGCCTCCTCCAGCCCTACCAGCTGCTCACAGTGGAGCTTCCAGGAACCAGAGAGGGTTTCTGGGCCGACAGCTGCGTGTACGAGTGCTCTCGAGGCCGCCTGCACCGCCTGTCTTCCACCCGCATCCCGCTAACATCGCGCCCTGTCTCCTGCTCACGACACCCCTCTGAGAGATCTCTTCTCCTGGGTCTCAGTGACTCCTCCTTGGTGCTGTTTGACCAGCGACGGGGGGTCTCTCTCCTGGCCTCCTGCCCCGTACCCCCCACCCTCCTCGCCTGGCACCCTGCTGGGGCCGTGGTGGTGGTGGGGGGAGAGCAGGGGGAGCTGATGTGCTTTGATGTGGGCTTGGCACCTGTAAGGATGGCGCTGGTAGCGGAGGATGAGGCTCCAGCGGAAACGCTAAGACTCGCCGACCACCTGCGGAGCGGCGGAGGACTGGAGGGGCTGCGGTGGGCTGCGGGCCTGGAGGCAGATGTGCTGATGTTGGCCTTTCACGGGGGACCATTGGCTGCCCTGAGATTCAGACTCGGTAGGTGGAATACGATTTAGAAATGAGAAATGGCAAAAAACGAAGTTGGAATTTTTTTTGCGGAGCAGAAACTCGAAGAACTCAAAAAACTCAACATAGAATTACTTTTCAATGAACTGATCAATGATGTCCGGACGCATCAATGCTAAGACACATATCCTAATGCGGTTTCTTCAGATCACTTGTTTTTTTTCAATTCAGGGTGGCAATGATATCTAACAAAGAAGAACTCAAAATGCCATATAATGTTCCCTCCATCGACTAATTGAGTAATTGCCTGATCATCTCAGAAGTCTTCCATAGGGTTACGCACACTAACAACTATTTAATTGCTTTTACACAAATCAGCCTCTACTCCAGTTTGAGCTTAAAAATATATTTGTGTGTAAATGCGTGATCCTCTGAAAGCAAGACATGAACTAGCTTTTAATAATTCTGTGTTAGAGTGATGCAGTTATAGTTTACTGTAGAAAACCAACAGGTGCATCTGGAAACACGACTCAGCTCATCGTTAACCACATTGTACAAAATTGTAAAAAAAATGTTTTCTAATCTTCTTTATTTTTTATTTCCTACCTATTTAGGGTTAAAAAAACATCTTTCAATTTAGACTTTTTTAATTTGATTTTTTAATTACAGTTACAGTATGTCTACTGACAGCCAAAATTAACAGATCGACTATGTAACGTATTATGGTTATAGAGTGATATTAATTCATTCACCTTTATTTAAAACATAAATAAGTAATTGATCTGAATATATGTATATAATACCTGGTTAAATTCAACATGTATATTTTCTACTTTCTTGTTTATTTTTAGTCTTTGAATTTGTATTGTACAATGCCGTGTCTTTTTATGCTAATGCCACAAAACATTTTCTCCCCAAATTGAGATCAATAAAATACCATCTTATCGTATCTTATCTTATAACCAGATTTTGAATTAAGTATTTATCCGGCTTGCTCTTTTTCCTTTCTTTACAATTAGTATTTTTCGATGTAACCTAAAGTAACTACCCCTAATTTGTACCTTTTATATTTTACGCAACCTTATGTGATTAAAAATAGAATATAATGTGCAAACCTTCCCCCCCCCCCCTTCAGAGGCTCTCCCTGTGTCGTGGGTCTGCCTCAGTATCTGAACCCCTCTGTGTAACAATGGCGGCTGAACGGGGTCGTACTCTTACCTCTTCACTGCTGAGGGAAGTTAATTTGTTGACGGGCGGGAAGGTTAGCAGGAGTCACGCTCTCAGAGGTCATTCAATAATCGCCCCGGGGCAAGAGCCCCGCAGGTGCATTCTGGGATGCATTTTTCCGATAAATCGTTTCCAGTGGCTGCGCAGTCCCTCGGGGCCCCCAGATAAAGTTTGCCAATCAAAATGTTTCCAAAGCAGCCACCTCACCCTCCAACACACGCATTCACAAACACACTCATACATACACACATTCAGCTTCTTTAATTGTGACTTTGGAAAGAAGATGTGACAGTAGCTCTCCACCGAAGTTTGAAAGCAGGAGTGAGGGGGTGGATGGAGGAAGGTAGAAGATTGTGTGTGTGTGTGTGTGTAAGTGTGTGTAACTGTGTGTAAGTGTGTGTGTGTGTGTTTAACTGTGTGTATCCAACTGCGTTTGCCTGTGTGCAAAGAGGAGGGTGTCTTCCAACAATAGCTTCCCCTCCTCTGATCGTCTGCCAAGGTTTTGATGAAGAAAGTCACTGCACGTCTTTTCTCCATGATAATTCTTCCCCCCACACTAACACGCGTGTGTGTATTATTCTATTTCTGTGCTTCCACACACACACACACACACACACACACACACACACACACACACACACACACACACACACACACACACACACACACACACACACCAACTCATTTGTTTGTTTGCTTGCGCTCCTTCTCTGTATTGACTTGTTTCATAAGGCCCGCTACATGACAGAATGACTGAGTTGGGAGACGGCGGGGAAGAAAGACTTGGCTGAGCTCCAAGTTCCTTTTTTCCATAGGAGGCAGCCCTCCCTGGTGCCCCCCCACCCCCCTCCTGCCTGCACCCAGTTATCTCATCTGGGCACACGTTGGCCACGGCTGGGCTGCACCGGCACAGGCTGAGGAAGGGCAGACCAGGAAATGTGCTGAACGAGGACAATAGTTTTTTTTTTTTTTATAGGGACGTGAAATATTGAAATAGGAAGAATTACATAACCTGGTATAAAACTAGTAAAGAAAATGAGAGGGTTAGAATCAGAGTCAATGTGACGGACATTCAGGTAACATAAATACGGTTTCTTTTTTCAAATGCACAGCTTGCTAACCTGATTAGTAAAGCACTTCAAGTCTATCACAACAATTTGAGTTAAAACTGACCAGGGTTCAATCGACTATTTTGGCATCTTTTAATTAAATAATCAACTTGTGTCCTCTCCTATTTCTAGATATTCTGATTTCTAAAAAGAAAGGATACTAAATGTCTACAGTGTAACAGTTTTAATGGCTGATTTCTTCTTATTTAAGGTCGACTTTAATGCTCAGCTTTCGTTATTATACTTTGAGTTGAACTATTTGTCAGCAGTTTGTCTCTGAAGTGTACTTGTCATGTTGACGGTGCTCAGTAGGGTTTGTTTGTGCTGCTGCTCTGTGTTGTTGTGGGTCTGACAGTCTGACGCTGA